CTGTGACCAGAGAGAACCTTCCCAGGTGATGCCACTGGGTGCACTAACTCAGAGCGAGTTGCTGGATGCTCGCCTAGCAGGAAAAATGTGTGCTACGAAAGCTCTGCTCTGCCCAGTGCCATTCTGTTTCTTTTAGGGTACTCCCTCGTGTGCATGCAAAAGTTGGACATTGAATAAAGAAGACTATAGAAGAATTGATGCATTTGAATTGTGATACTGGGGAAGAATATTGAAAATACCATGGACTACTAAAAAGACAAACTGGTCTGTCTTGGAAGAAGTCAGGCCAGAGTGGTCCTTAGAGGCAAGGATGGCAAGACTTAGTCTTACAGACTTTGAACATGTTATCGGTAGAGACCAGTGGAATGGTGGCAAAAAGAGGAAGACCCTCAACGAGATGGGTTGACCTACCAGCTGCATCCACAGGCTCAGGCATAAGAACAATGGTGAGGCTGGCGCAGGACTGGGCAGCGTTCCGTTCTGTTGTGCAGAGGGTTGCTATGGACTGGAGCCGACTGGATGGCACCTGACCCCCACAGCAACAAAGATCCAGATACTGCATTTAAGCAAATTACCTGATTTTTCTACGACCGTATAGATAAGCATATGACACAAGCCTTACATCAAAACAACTTGGCAAATGCTACTAACACAATTACCCCAAACTCTTTGCTTACTTTAAGGTTGGTTGAAGAGATCAGACAGAAGTGTGACGGGCTTCAGTTACAGAACGAGGATGTCTACATGGCCACCACGTTTGAGGACTTCATCCAGAAGGCCGTGAGGAAGCTGAGGGGGGAAGACCAAGAGGAGGAGCTGGTAGTGGATTATGTAAGCCTTTTCCTGGTGTCGAACCTAAATCATTGCGATCTGTGTGTTGGGAAAGTAGGCTGTGTCTTTCAGTCATTTAATTTTGTTCTTTTTTCACTTTTTAAAAACAGCAACTCCGCTACACATATTCTCTCCCGTCCTAGGAGCTCGTTTCTCCTTCTCCATAATGCCTTTTTTGATGAAGTTCAATTGCCAGTTTTTCTCTTTTGCGGCTGCCTCTTTTGGTTCCACCTCTCACAAACCACGGCCTAACCCAAAGGCACAGAAGATAAAATGTGTTCTTCTAGCAGTTCTGTGGTTTAGTATTAGCCCTTTTAGGCAGCGCTAGGATCCGTGTTGAGTTAATTTCTGCTTACGGTGTGAGATAGGGGTTAGATTTCATTCTTTTGCTTATGGACATT